TTACACTAACTGCTGGTCCCAGCATCATTTTAATAGAAACAAATTTAAGAAATTATTTTTAGAATATATAAAATTGACGTATTCTTAAAAAAATGTTTTAAAGGTCTTTTGTAAATACAAACTTATTTTGCTATTTAAAACTATAACAATATTATAAATACAATGAAAAAGACCTTTAGTATCACCTTTTTTTGGGGGAGAGATTTTTGCTATAGGGCACATGTGCTTGCCAGAGACAGAGAGAAAGACAGAGAGACCAAAAGCAAGAAATCATTCCCCACAGGGGATGGCCACACTTCTATACCCTCCATTCTTTTCTTAAACTTTGGGCACACATGCACATGTGCGTGGCATGAGTTTTAAGCTGCTGGGTCCAGGACTCGAACCATGGTCAACTATGTGGGGGTCCAATAATGTAACAATTACAGCTGCTGGTCTCAATATCACCATTTTTTAAAAGATTATTTTTCTCTTCCATGAGATAGAGAAAGGGAAGACTTCAATAGGGTCCTCATGCCACAATCCACCCCCAGCCTCAGCTAGCCAGGAGGTCAGGTACATGCGTGAGTCCAGTGTGTCTGTGTCCAGAGAAACTGACATCAGGATGCAAACCTGCATGTGAACATGTAGCTTTGGCATCATGGAACATTGCCTTACCTTTGCACCATCACAGTTGTCCTTAGTACAATCTCTTTAAGCAGCATTGGATTTTCTGAAAAAAATCAAAGTAGTATGCCAAATAATTTATAGTACAGTGAACAAGGACTCAATATTTTATGTGTATGTATTTAATACAAACTTGTAGAACTAGATTGTTTTATGCTATTATATTCTGTATATATTTTTTCATAAAAACTAGGGCTGTCTGTATCCAACAACTAAATATACAGATTGCAGTTAAAAGCCTTATTTAACTTATATTACCATGTTTCTCAACATTACTTCTAGGGCAGGAAATACACCATGAGAGTGAAGTTCGGCAGTGATAGTAAAAGTAGATTAGCTACCTTCTTTTTCTTTGCTGTGATGAAGAAAGAATGGAAATTGGAATCAGAAGGTGGCCTCCTTCTGAGGGATATAAGGGGTGGATCTGTTGCAAGCCTCTCTCCTCGGCTCGCTGATGACTCTTTTCTTACTGCATCATTTTTTTTTTGGAGATTTTTTTTTGCTATAGGGCGCGTGCATTACCACATCTTTTTCCATCATCTTACCTTTATGCTTACTTCTGTGTCCAAGTATCTCCTTTTTATAGGACACCAATCGTATTGGATTGTAGATTCACCCTACTGCAGGATGAGCTCATTTTAACTAATTATATCTACAATGACCCTATTCCCAAATAAGATCATTTTCTAGCCCAGGCCGGATGGTACAGGCAGTAGGATATTACTGCACAATGCTGGAATCATGTGGGAAGGCCTGAGGTTTGGCTCCCTGGCCCACCTGAGCACAGCCTGTATGCTCATGTGAGCCCATGATCTTGGCTGGCTGGAGGGCTGGGGAAGGACTGAGGTATGACAAGACCCTGTTAGGAGTCCTGTCTCTCTCACGAAAGAAACAAATGAAAACCAAACAACGGCGACAACAAGCGAAGCAAACAATCAAACAACAAAAATCCCCAAAGCTTCTGAAGTATTGGGTGTTAGGATTTCAAAATACAAAGTTGGGGGAAGTGCGCAATTCGTATCAATCAATAATTCTTAAGTGAGTCTAGCATCTATTTTTAGCTTTAATAAAAAGCCATTTTATTAAGTTATCCAAACAACACACAATTCCCAAGTGATGTAAAACTTTAGTGAACATTGAAAAGTAGGTTAACCAGCAGTGAGAGATTATATGTAAATAACTGACTCATACTTATTTTCGTTCCTATTCTGACTACAACTTTGGAGCAGTAGAAAAGAATGAACATAGTAAACTGATTTCTAATGTTGTTTTTTTTTGTTTGTTTTTTTTTTTGAAAGGTTTTTGCTATAGGGCATGTGCGCTTGCCAGAAAGACAGACAGAGACAGAAACAGAAAGCGAGAAATCACCTCCCAGTGATGGGGGTGCATCCCCTGCATCCACGGTGCAATCCCTTCATTCTCTTCTTGAGATTGGGCACGCATGCACATGCACTCGGTGTGAGTTTAAACCACTGGGTCCAGGACTCGAACTGTGGTCAACTATATGGAAGTCTAGCTAAATAGTCATTTCACCAACTGCTGATCCCCTGATTTCTAATGTATGAACCTGCAATCATTTACACCATGCCAAAGACGCCATATAACATGGACCACTAATTATTTTACTTTCTCACATTTTTCAGGGGTTCTTTGCCTGTAGAATAAAGACTGAACTCTTTGTAAACTGCCAGCCCAGTATCATCCTCACTCACACCTTAATAAGCTCCTATAATAATCAGCGTCTAGTTGATCCCCAAACAATTCAGGCTTTCTCAAAGGCCTTTTTGCCTTTCCCCATTTCTTGTTTGTTTGTTTTTTTTTCTTTCTCTGCTTAACATTTTCCATTCCAGCTATATTCAAATGTTGCTTTCATAGAAGGCTTTTTCTACCTTCCTATAGTCTTAGGTGAAAATTACTAAACAATTTTGACAATTACCTTGTACTGTTGTTTCCTACATTTATTTCCCTCTGTAAAGTACATTTTCTTTTTTTTTTTTAATTTTCTTATTATTTTTATTATTTTAATTTGACCAGAGAGACACAGAGAGAGAGAAAGGGAAAGTGAGAAAGCAAATCTCAAGATCTGGGACTTGAACTATGGTCAGCCAAGTGGGAGTCCAGCACCTTAATCACTGCACCACCTGCCATCCCATGAACTGTAAATTTTCTGAGAGCATAGGAAATTATTTTTCATCTTTATATTTCTACTGCTATGCTTTATGCTTGGAATATTTAATAAGCAGTTCTTGAATAAATGCCCACATTTTTATATAAGCATAATTTATTTATTTATAAAAAGAATTATTTACTTAATTTTACTTATTTATTACTATTCTTCAATTTGATCAGAGAGAGAGAGAGAGAGAGAGAGAAATAGGGAATGAGAAACCAAGCCACCAGGTCCGAGACTTGAATCATGGTCCACCTGTGGGAGTGCAGCACCTTAAGCACCACACCACCTGCCATTCCCAAGAATAATTTATTTTATGCCATAGTTCTTTAAAGAGAATCTAGCCTAAAATATAAAATTTAAAAACACATTTAAAAAGTGTAATACATTAATGATCTCACTATTTACTGCTATTTGGATAATGTTGTATGACTTACTTTGTCAATTGGAATTTTTGTGTGCTTTTAAGAACACTTGTAGTTGTGATTTTGTATATACAGAAGCTTCAGGCAGATACAAGAATGTTATACACCAAGGATTATAATTAATAAAAATCTGGGACCCTTAAATATAAAAAAAAATTTTCTTTTTGGAAAAATAACCGGCCACGTTATTATTTTAATTGTGGTAAAAAGTACATAAAAGTTACTATAATATTTTAACTATTTTTAAAGTGTACAATTCACAATCTTGGGCAACTACTGTCCATTTCCAAGGAAAAAGCATTTTTAAAAATCTAGCTTTTATCAGTAAATCTAGATAAGTAACTGCTGGTTCTAAAGCACGGATTGAGTATGATTACTATATATAGAAGCCAAACAAATGCCCGCTAACTTACTGAAAAAGTAAGAGAATATTTAAAAACCTGTTGAAACTGCCAGTGCAACATATGAGACACTAATGGGGGGAGGACCCTCAGAACTAAATACAGCACGGAAATGGCATACCCAGATGTCAGTTAAAGTCCTTCTACCTTGGGAAAGGCAGCTTTGTGACGCTGATATGTGGGAAGGTAAGGCGGCTTTGGTGCACTCTCACTGCACACTACACAGGCAGTTCTTAACCGGGGCTGGGAGGAGTCGGTAAAATGTTGCTGTCAGCAGTTTGGCGAATATATGCAGCAGGACGTGGGAGTCACCCATTCCTTTTTTGGGGTTTCAGTGTTTAAAACTATCACACTTGATGGACGGGACTGAATTCCCAGGTGAAGGCGAGGCCTTGCCCAAAGTGCAGTAGCCGCCAGGGATCTGACTTCCCAGCGCGGACTGTAGATGGGACATGGGGGCCCGAAACTCCAAAGGTGGCGGGGCCAGGAGCAAGCCTGGAACCCGGGACCAGCCAGAGGGGGCGGGCCCAGGCGAGGCCGCTGCCTCCGCCGCTTCGGAAGGCCGAGGGCGCGCTTGTTTACCTCCCAGCGGATGACACCGAGACAAAGGGGGAAGGAAGGAGGGAGGGACCTCTTGAGGGCAACTCCCTGGGCGGGAAGCGCCTTACTCCAGAGAAGCTTTTGTAACACCTCTGGAGAGGCGGGAACAGCTGTGCGCCCGCACCCCGTACGCCCTCTCTGAGGTTCCCCGCCTTGTCTTCACCGCGGGAGCAGCTGAGCAGTCGGTCCCCGCGGCAGACCCCGTCTCTGCCCATTCGTTATTCCTTGGAGTACGCAGGGGAGATTGTGAGTGATCTCCCGAGCAAAGCGACCACAGCCCCAGGAGACAACGCTGATGGCCGGGCTGGGGCGGGGGAGTGACTGGACTAAGCGGCGGTCGGAAGAGGGGTAGGCAGGCTTTTGTAGCCTGAGCCGTGGCCGCTCAGACTTTGAGAGAACAACCCCTAAACTCCCGACTTCATATTTTTAAATCTGGCGGGGCTGTCCCTTTCGGAACAGCCACGCCCCCTGTTTACGACCTCAGCCAGTCAGCGTCAGGCCCGCCATTTTTCAAACCCTTTTCCCGCCGCCAATCAGGATCGAGCGGTGCATTCCTCTCCTGACCGGTTCTAACGGGTCTAGGAGTTAACGACCTGGGAGACCCACCGAACCTGCTAGGCTGGGGCTGGAGGGGTGGGTCTAGTGAGACACCGACCAATCGAAAGCCGTCTTGGCGAGAGGGCGGGGACTCTCCGCGTTTGAATAATCGTGAAAGCCAATTAGAGAGGCGTGGGTGTGGCCTGTGGCCGGGCTGGTCAAGTTGCCGTGGCGCGGAGAACTCTGCAAAACAAGAGGCTGAGGATTGCGTTAGCGATAAACCAGTTCACGCCGGAGCCCTGGGGAGGAAGCTTCTCTGTCAGATCCGGCCGCGCTGCGGGACTCTGAGGAGAGCTCACACCAGGCAAGAAACTCTCTCGAGCCGCTTGGCTTTGTGGGCCTGCTGTTCCGCCTTCCCTTGAGCCCTCTACAGGTTTTCGCGGTGTGGTTCTCGGGGTTCGGCCCGGCGAGCGGAATTGGGTGTGCGGGCCGGTGAGGGCCTGGGCTGTAGAAAGCAGCCGGGCGGGCGGCCGGGGCTAGAGGGGA